TCAGGTGTGTTCAGGTGTGTTCAGGTGTGTTCAGGTGTGTTCAGGTGTGTTCAGGTGTGTTTTGTTCAGGTGTGTTCAGGTGTGTTGTTCAGGTGTGTTCAGGTGTGTTCAGGTGTGTTCAGGTGTGTGTGTGTTCAGGTGTGTGTGTTCAGGTGTGTTCAGGTGTGTTCAGGTGTGTGTGTGTTCAGGTGTGTTCAGGTGTGTTCAGGTGTGTTCAGGTGTGTTCAGGACTGTTCAGGTGTGTTCAGGTGTGTTCAGGTGTGTTCAGGTGTGTTCAGGTGTGTTCAGGTGTGTTCAGGTGTGTTCAGGTGTGTTCAGAACCTGTGACTGTCCTGGTTGACTCTTGTAGCTTGTTACCTCTGGTCAGGAGGGACTTGGTGCCAACAGGTATCGTAGATTATAACAGACAGGAAATCATTTAGTGTGAACATGGTGACAGACTTTCCTGCTCTGCTGATCTGACGGTGACTGTGGATGAACAGTCGTATCTGGCGTCTCTGGGGCGGTGGAAAAGTTACCAGTAGCTGCCATCCTGGGGTGGGACCTGCCTGTGCTGATCGGTGTGTTGCAGGAAGAAGGGGCCAAAGAGAAGAGTCCTGTGATCACCGGCGCTCAGGTCAGGGCAGGGGTAACAGCAGGGGTCCGGTTCTGAACCCTTTTTTACCCTGGAGAGCGGCGCTTTGAAAAGGGGCTGAGGTCGAGGGAGTCAGAGTTTAAGGTGGGGTTGATGTGGGAGGAGCCTGAGGAAACTGGGGCTTTACAAAGTCAGGATGAGACTCTGAGGGCAGCGTTTGCCAGAGCAGTTGGGGGCTGGATATGGCAAAAGGAAGCAGGAAGTGCTGTGTCATTGACAATAATACATTGTTTGCAGTGGCTGACGGTGCCAAACACCTCGTGGTTCCCATGTCGTGTCGACCACTGATCTTGCACCTGGTACACACTTTGCTTTGGGCTGATCATCTGGGTCGACAAAAGACTTACCTGCGATTAGCCTTTTGATTTCATTGCCTCCATGTATGCAGACATTCAAAACTTTTGTAAAACCTGTCCCACCTGCCAGAAAACATCGTATATCCTCCAATCTGACCATGTCCACCTCCAACCTCTGCCCGTGATCTCCACCCTGTTCTGGTGTATGAACATTGTCGGTCCATTAGTGCAGAGCAGTGGTGGACACCAGTACATCCTGGTGCTGTGTGACTCTGCCACACGGTTCCCTGAGGTGTTCCCCTCGTGCACCGTCACTGCCCCTGTGCTGCTGCGGTGTCTTGTGCAGTTGTTTTCCAGGGTTGGTGTTCTGGATGAGATCGTGACAGACCAGGGGACCAACTTCACCTCCAGACTGCTGCAGCTCTTCCACCGGCAGTTGGGAACCTCAGCGATCAAAACCACTCCATATCACCCTCAGACGAATGGCCTGGTCGAGCGACTCAACCAGACTCTAAAGAGGATGCTGCAGAAGTTCATGGCTGATACTGAACGAGACTGGGACCAGTGGCTGCCTTTTCTGCTGTTCGCCAACTGGGAGGTTCCTCAGGCGTCCACTGGTTTCTCCCATTTCAAGTTACTGTATGGCTGGACCTGCTGCTAAAGGCCTGGGAGGCTCCCACAACCACCACCAGTGACCACAGTGTGGTCCAGGGAGCCAAGGTCAACCTACATGAAGCCCATCAGTCCCAGAAGGCCTGGTACAACCAACAGGCCAGACACAGAGAGCTCCAACCTGGCCAGAAGGTTCTGCTCCTCCTGCCATCCTCCACCAGCAAGCTACTTGCCAAGTGGCAGTTCCAGTACACAGTTCTCAGGAAGATGGGCCCTGTGACCTACGAGATTCACCACCCGGACAAGAAGAAGGCGAAGCAGACCTGCCATGTCAACCTGCTGAAGGAGTGGAAGGAGGCTCCAGTCCCTGTGCCCGTGGTGCCCTGCTGGTGAAGGAGGTGGTCAGCAAAGTGGAGGAGAAGTCAGCTGTGGCCAAACTCCGTTAGCCTGCTGAACCGGCCCTCAACCATCTCTCCACCGCCCAGTGCAGCCAGCTGATGCCAGTGGGAGTGGTGCAGTCCGGTGGTCCTTGTGGTGAAGAAAGACGACTCACTCTGCATCTGCATCAACTTCTGGAAGCTCAACACGATGTCTGAGTTTGATGCCTGTGCGATGCCCCGGACTGACGACCTGCTGGAGAAGATCAGTCAGGCCAGGTTCATCACCACCCTTGACCTCTGTAAGAACTACTGGCAGGTTCCTCTGGAGGTGTCCAGTCGCTCCTACATGGCCTTCCGGACACCTGCCGGTCTCTTCCAGTTCACCGTGATGCCCTTTGGCCTCCATGGAGCACCTGCCACCTTCCACAGACTAATGGATCATGTTCTGCAGGGGTGTGGTGACTGCAGTGCTGCCCACCTGGATGATGTGCTCATCTTCAGCAACACCTGGGAGCAGCACCTGCATCACCTGGAGTGAGTCCTTGGCCAGATCCAGCAGGTGGATCTGACACTAAACCCTGCCAAGTGTCAGCGGGCGAAGCAGGAGGCGACGTACCTGGGCGATCGTCTGGGAGGAGGTGAGGTCCAGCCTCAGGTGGACAAGGTCGAGGTCATCCACAGCTGCCCACACCCTCACACAAACAAGGAGGTGAGGTCCTTCTTGGGCTTGGCTGGTACCAGAGATTCATCCAACAGTTCGCCACCATCGCCGCTCGTCTGACAGACAGACTTAATGTCGTAGTTTCTGCCATAGTCTGAACAGACTTTTAAAGCTCTTGCCTCCCAGAGCTGTGAGGACTGAAGATCACAAGATCATCAACAAACATGAGGTGAGTGATGACCTCAGATCCAACGACACAGACTGTTTTACAAGTGTGTAACTCTGTAGACACTTCATCAGTACCTACAGTAAATAAAACTGTTAACAGTGTTTATCATGGGAGTTATGTTCTAAAAATAACCCACAATAGGCAAAATCCACAAAGTAATCAACTTTTATATTTTACAATTATTCTATCAGTTTTAAGTCTGTAAAACTCCTCACACAAACTTTGTTCACTTTTCTCACACAGGACAGTTACAACATTTTTTACATCCTTTTTAAAACTTCTTGCTGCTGTCGTCCTTTTGTTATTTTCCTCTTTATGTAACGAACCCAAGATTCATTTATTCTTTAATGGAGCCTAGAGCGCAGAGTCCTGCACGGGTCCATTGTTGTAGACCTGCACTCGCCCGTTAACCCGAGATTATATCAAAGTTAAACCTGTTAACATTCCACCTGTTACCTGCCCAGGCTCGTGATAAATCACATACAGATTAAAAACATTCTAACTGAAGCATCCATCAGAATACAAACTGAAAAGTTACAACGTCAAGAATTACAATCACAAAATGAAATGAAACGGTTTCACTTTCTTCAGTACAAACACGAATCACAGACGCAACTCGACTGTCATCACTGCACAGGCTTTAGCAGAAGAAACACACCACAGACTGAACCAGGACTAACCCAGGACTAACCCAGGACTAACCCAGGACTGATTCCAGGACTCACTGTCAGGACGGGTCTGGAGGTGCGTCTGTGTGACCGTTGGGTGACCACAGGAGAAAGGACCAGCTCAGAGCTCCACGCCCCACGGAGGTAAGAGCAGCCGCCTGTTTCAGCAACTATTTGCGAGTACCTGACCCGGTGCAGGACTCTGCTACAGCCACGTAACTTCTCTCTTCCTTCAGCGTGTCCAGAAGTCCAACTTTGTGTGCGATGGTTACATCTTCTTCTGCCTTTTGGAGCGAGTGCAGGAGCCTTTGTCGGTGCAGAACGTTTCGTCGACATTGTGGGTTTTGTCGAGGAGAAAACTCACAAACACACAACACTTCAGAATCACACTGATACAGATCCAACATTTATGTCAAATCTGTCAAACTGAACACATTCTGTACTGAACAGGAGACACGGAGGGAATGAGTGACAACGGTCTACAGCCAATCAGGACGCAGGGGGAGGAGCACAATGTACCTTCATACACTGGGAAAAAAACATGCAAAACTGCACACACAAAAAATTCTGTGAAATAGCAAGACCGCAAAAGGTGAACCGTGTTATAATGATGGACGACTGTATCTCTGCAGACAGTTGTTCAGTATCTACAGAAATAAAACTGGGCAGAGTGTGTCTCCTTGTCCAACATCGTCACATAAAAAGTCTCTGAAGCAGCTTTGTCCATTTCACTCTCATTTATTGTCTAAAATAACAGAACATTAAAATTCAGATCAGATGTTTTGGCACAGCTCTAATGACAAACCACAAAACATTATTTTTGAAATTAATGTGTTTTACTCGATCAAACATTTTGGCGACATCAATAAAACACAGAAATACAGATGGATTCAAACCAAGACACGTCCCAAATATTTATATTATATATGAGTTTATAAACACACAGATCAGTTCCATGTTCCTTTGTGAATCTAAACTGATTTTCATTTGTTAAAACATCAGATGTTGGAAAAAAACAAAAACATTAAGACAAAATCCAACAAATATAGACACAAAAACCACCGGAGTCGACTCAGGAGTTGAATAAACTTCAACAGAATCTGAAAGCTTTATAATCCAGGCAGCTCTGGAAAATGGAACAACAGATGTAGAACAAGGCAGATTATTGTCCACATATGTCCACAATAGAACTGGGACAGTTTCTGTCAATAAAACACTAAAGAACATTTCAGGGAAAAAGAAAAAGTGTTTCTGAATCCAAGAATGGTTTAGTGGGTGTAGAGTCCCACATCTTCTCTCCCTGTTTCACTCTTGGAACATTTTCTTCATTGGTTTAAAAATGTTTAAGGATTATTTTAAAATATGTTAAAAAAAAATGTCAGAGTTTTGTAGAATCTGCTAAAATATAGAATAATAAAAACTGAAAATAAGTAGAAAATGCAAAGTCAAGTCCAGGTAAAGTCCCAGTTTGTCAGAGATCATCAGTGACTCTGTCTGAAGGAGACTCTGTGGACACAACATCAGGAGGAGCTCAGGTCGACCAGAGTCACAGAGGAACCTTCAGTCCACAGTCTAAACCCTGGAAACAGAGGCTCAGAGAAGAACGAGGAGAAGGTGTGGATGTGGAACAGTTCTTCATCAGAGGAGATCTGATAGAAGGACAGAGCTCCAGCCTCAGAGTCCAGGAACACGCCCACTCTGCCCGAGGACACGCCCCCTTCACCAGAGGACACGCCCTCTGAGGAGCTCAGCCAATCACAGACTGATGTTTTGTCTTTGTTGTGGTGGGCAAAGCACTTTCCTTTGTTGATCTCCAGACTCCAGGAGTGATCATTGTTTCCAAACCCACTCTCTCTGTCTTCCGCTCCGTCTGATCTTTCTGTAACTCGCTGCTATAAAACCCCCTCCCGCTCCAGTTCACCTCCCAGTAACAGCGCCCCCTCAGGCCAGTGCAGCTCAGGACCTGATAAGTAAAGCCTGTGAACCTGTCCTCATGATCTGGATACTTCTGCTCCTCCTTCATCTTCACAAGTGTCACAGTTCGATGGTGGTCAGACATCCTCAGGCGTCTGTGAGCTGAGTTTGGGTCCAGAGAGACGTCACAGGAGTCTGAAACACAAACATGTGAATGTGAGGAGAATGTTCATGTGTGAAAGCATCAGTGGACGTAGAGCTGGAGGCGTTTACAGGAGCCACAAAGAGTTTAGTCTTTAGTGTCATGGGCTTTATTGGACACCACGTGGATCTGCTGACTCAGATAAACCACTCAGGGTTCAAGAGTTTGTTCAACTGAGCTGATGCTTCTACAGATGTTCTCTCTGTGTCTGTAGGTTCTCCACAGACCTGGAGTCGTGTCAGCGTGAACGTTCTCCACAGACCTGGAGTCGTGTCAGCGTGAACGTTCTCCACAGACCTGGAGTCGTGTCAGCGTGAACGTTCTCCACAGACCTGGAGTCGTGTCAGCGTGAACGTTCTCCACGGACCTGGAGTCGTGTCAGCGTGAACGTTCTCCACGGACCTGGAGTCGTGTCAGCGTGAACGTTCTCCACGGACCTGGAGTCGTGTCAGCGTGAACGTTCTCCACAGACCTGGAGTCGTGTCAGCGTGAACGTTCTCCACGGACCTGGAGTCGTGTCAGCGTGAACGTTCTCCACAGACCTGGAGTCGTGTCAGCGTGAACGTTCTCCACGGACCTGGAGTCGTGTCAGCGTGAACGTTCTCCACGACCTGGAGTCGTGTCAGCGTGAACGTTCTCCACAGACCTGGAGTCGTGTCAGCGTGAACGTTCTCCACGGACCTGGAGTCGTGTCAGCGTGAACGTTCTCCACGGACCTGGAGTCGTGTCAGCGTGAACGTTCTCCACGGACCTGGAGTCGTGTCAGCGTGAACGTTCTCCACAGACCTGGAGTCGTGTCAGCGTGAACGTTCTCCACAGACCTGGAGTCGTGTCAGTGTGAAAGGTGAGTCCAGTCCCACGTTAAAGTCACAACATGTTTATTTCATGTTTCTGTCATTGTGATTCTCTTATTAAGACACAAAACAAGACTCACACTTCCTCAGATCTGAGAGTTTACGCAGCTCTGCCCCATCCAACCTGAAACACACAAGTCCAGTTTAGACCAGACCAGGACCAGACCAGACCAGGACCAGGACTAGACCAGACCAGGACCAGACCAGGACCAGACCAGACCAGACCAGACCAGACCAGACCAGGACCAGACCAGACCAGACCAGACCAGACCAGACCAGACCAGACCAGACCAGACCAGACCAGACCAGACCAGACCAGACCAGGACCAGACCAGGACCAGACCAGGACCAGACCAGGACCAGACCAGACCAGACCAGACCAGACCAGACCAGACCAGACCAGGACCAGACCAGGGACCAGACCAGACCAGACCAGGACCAGACCAGACCAGACTAGGACCAGGACTAACACCTGAAAGACAGTTTTCTTTGCTTTGTTTTCTTTTAATTTAAAATATTGAGTAAAATAAACTCACGTTTCTTTGTTTGAGGTTTTCTCCACAGGTTCTTCTCTCATGTTCTTCTGTTTCTCCTGCACCAGACTGTGGTGGTTCATCTCGTTCAGACAGTGGAGCAGGTTCAGACTTTTCTCCTCAGACAGACCCTCTTCATCCAGCTTCTGTTTGATGAACTCATGTGTTTTCTGCTTTTTATTGTTTCCTGAAGGCAACAGACCTGCAGCAGGTTCTGATTGGTCGGCAGAGACAGCCCCAGGAGGAAGCGCAGGAACAGGTCCAGGTGTCCGTTTGGACTCTGTAAGGCCTGGTCCACAGCAGAGCGGTAGAAGGCCTCAGGGTCTGGACTCTCAGAGGAGTGTGGTGTCTCCAGCAGGTTCTCTCCAGAGCTGTAGAAGGTCTGATGGACGTGAAGAGCAGCCAGAAACTCCTGCACACTCAGATGGATGAAGCAGTAGACCTTGTCCTGGTACAGGCCTGGCTCCTCTCTAAAGACCTGTGTGAACACTCCGGAGTACACTGAGGCCGCTGCAGCGTCCAGCCCACACTCGCTCAGGTCACTCTCGTAGAAGATCAGGTTTCCTTTCTGCAGCTGCTCAAAGGCCACTTTTCCCAGAGACTTCACCATCTCCCTGGTCTCTGGAGTCCAGTGAAGGTCCTCCCCTGATCCCTGCTGATACTTGATGTTCTGGACTTTGGCCTGCACCACCAGGAAGTGGACGTACATCTGTGTGAGAGTCCGGGGCAGCTCTGGTTCTGTTTGTTCCAGAAGCTTCTGTAGAACCTTGGAGAGGATCCAGCAGAAGATCGGGATGTGGCTCATGATGTGGAGGCTGCGGACGCTCTTGATGTGGGAGATGACGACCGTGGCCTGGTCTCTGAACCTCTTCCTGAAGTACTGCTCCTTCTGCGGGTCGGCGAACCCTCGCACCTCTGTCACCATGGAGACGCACTCAGCAGGGATCTGATTGGCCGCGGCGGGGCGCGTGGTTATCCAGAGGAGAGCGGAGGGAAGCAGGCTCCCCCTGATGAGGTTCACCAGCAGCACGTGCACTGAGGCGGACTCTGTGGGGTCGCTCAGGACCCGGGTTCGGCCGAAGTCCAGAGGAAGTCTGCACTCGTCCAGACCGTCAAAGATGAAGAGCACCTGGAGCTGTTGGAAGCTGCAGAGATCTTTGGATGGACTGAAGAAGTGGTGCAGCAGCTCCACCAGGCTGAACTGTGTGTCTCTGAGCACGTTCAGATCTCTGAAAGTGAAGGGGAACAGCAGCTGGAGGTCCTGGTGGGCCCGGCCTTCAGCCCAGTCCAGACTCAACTTCTGAGTCAGCACTGTTTTCCCCACGCCGGCCACGCCCTTCGTCAGCACTAATCTGATTGGCTGTGGTGAATGTGGGCGGGGTTTAAACATGTCCTGACATGGGACAGTCGTCTCATCGGCCGCTCTCCTGGACTGTGTCTCCATGTGTAGGACCTCATGTTCCTGGTGGTTCTGTCCAGAGTCTCCCACAGTGATGCAGAGCTCTATGAAGCCTTCATCAAACTCCATCTTCTCTGTGGTTCCTCTGATGTTCTCTGTGAGGAACTTAAACTTCTGTGTCAGTGTGGACTTCATCTCCTCCGAGCTCCTCCTGATGATCTCTGTGAGGACACAAACAGAACATGAGACTCATCAGTTTGTCTTTAAGCGTGGACATGGCACTGACACGTGGATCTGTGCGCTGAACCAGATCTTGGAGAAATAGAACTCCCAGGGTTCCACCGTATTCATGTGTCTCATGGACGCGTCTAAAGCCTCTGATCAGATGAACCACAGAAAACTCTTCAACAAATCATCAAACCCAAAAGGTTTTGTAGTGAAATGTGTGTAAAGTGTCTTTAGCTCCTGTGCTGCTGGAGTTTACCTTCAGGAGCTCCAACATTGTCCTGCAGCAGGTTCTCCAGAACAGCAGGGTCTCCTCTTTCCTCAAGGGAACTGGAAATGAAGAAGAAAAGGTTTTGCTCAATAGTTTGATTGTGATTTTAAAGTGAGAACAGAACAAGACACTGTGGTCCCTCATGTGTCCAGTCGTGCTCCATGGAGATTGGACCATTATTTTGTAGATTCAGCTCAAATGTTTCACACTTACGTTTGTTGTTCTTCTGCAGCTCCATTTTGGGCCTGAAAAATAAAATCAAAGTTGGTTTGAACTTGTTTCTTTCTCTAATGTTTCTGTTGTGATTCTAGAAATGAATTTTCTCCAGTCTGATCCCCACAACATTTGAAACGACCAAAGGAGCAAAATGAAACTCCAGAGTGAATACATGAGTGTTAAACTGCTCTACTCCAGAGTGAATACATGAGTGTTAAACTGCTCTACTCCAGAGTGAATACATGAGTGTTAAACTGCTCTACTCCAGAGTGAATACATGAGTGTTAAACTGCTCTACTCCAGAGTGAATACATGAGTGTTAAACTGCTCTACTCCAGAGTGAATACATGAGTGTTAAACTGCTTCTACTCCAGAGTGAATACATGAGTGTTAACTGCTCTCTACTCCAGATGAATACATGAGTGTTAAACTGCTCTACTCCAGAGTGAATACATGAGTGTTAAACTGCTCTACTCCAGAGTGAATACATGAGTGTTAAACTGCTCTACTCCAGAGTGAATACATGAGTGTTAAACTGCTCTACTCCAGAGTGAAATACATGAGTGTTAAACTGCTCTACTCCAGAGTGAATACATGAGTGTTAAACTGCTCTACTCCAGAGTGAATACATGAGTGTTAAACTGCTCTACTCCAGAGTGAATACATGAGTGTTAAACTGCTCTACTCCAGAGTGAATACATGAGTGTTAAACTGCTCTACTCCAGAGTGAATACATGAGTGTTAAACTGCTCTACTCCAGAGTGAATACATGAGTGTTAAACTGCTCTACTCCAGAGTGAATACATGAGTGTTAAACTGCTCTACTCCAGAGTGAATACATGAGTGTTAAACTGCTCTACTCCAGAGTGAATACATGAGTGTTAAAACTGCTCTACTCCAGAGTGAATACATGAGTGTTTTAAACTGCTCTACTCCAGAGTGAATACATGAGTGTTAAACTGCTCTACTCCAGAGTGAATACATGAGTGTTAAACTGCTCTACTCCAGAGTGAATACATGAGTGTTAAACTGCTCTACTCCAGAGTGAATACATGAGTGTTAAACTGCTCTACTCCAGAGTGAATACATGAGTGTTAAACTGGTTTCACCTTTTTGTTCTGTCGACGTTTCCACAGGAAGAAAACCACGACTCCAGCCAGGACGAGGACCACACACACTGAGACTCCGATCACAGCTGCAGGGGCCCCAGGGCCCTCTGCTGTGGGACACCAACACATGTGGAGATCAGACAGGGTCTACTGCACCTGTCACTGCACCTGTCACTGCTCCTGTCACTGCACCTGTCACTGCACCTCACGTCACTGAACCTCACTGCACCTGTCAGAACTCACCTGTCAGACTCACCTGTCACTGCACCTGTCACTCACCTGTCAGACTCACCTGTCAGACTCACCTGTCTCCTTTGTGCGTCGCAGTTGTGTGCTGGAGATGTAGTTTTGTTGCTGCGTGTGGACTTCACACAGGTACTCGCCCTCCTGCTCTGGGCTCAGCTCCTTCAGACTCAGAGCGCCTGACTCTGACAGGCGCTCCACAAACGGCCTCCAGGGGGCGCCGTAGGTCACGTCCGCTCCGCTCCGGCTCAGGACGCTCTGGACGCGGTTGAAGGTCCAACTCAGGCTCTTGACTGGAGCAGACGGAGCAGAAGAGGAGGAGCAGGGCAGAGTCACGTCTGAGGACATCTCCACTGGAGCTGAGGAAGAACACACACAAGTGAGGACAGGAGCAGACAGGAGCAGACAGGAGCAGACACACAAGTGAGGACAGGAGCAGACAGGAGCAGACACACAAGTGAGGACAGGAGCAGACAGGAGCAGACACACAAGTGAGGACAGGAGCAGACAGGAGCAGACAGGAGCAGACACACAAGTGAGGACAGGAGCAGACAGGAGCAGACAGGAGCAGACAGGAGCAGACTCACGGTTCAGGCTGTAGGTGGCGCTCTTCCAGCTGTGGGTCGTGCTGATGTTACAGGTGAACCTCTGAGGGGGGCGGAGCTCCAGGGCGAGCGAGCTGCTGACGGAGTAGAGCTGATCCCCCATTGGCCGCGTCTGGGTTTGGTGGGCGGAGTCAGGGGTCCAGGTCACGGCGGGCTGAGGGTAGATGCCCTCAGAGCTGCAGACCAGAACGTCTCCTTTAAGCTCCAAGTGCAGGAACGACACGGGACCTGAAGGGGGCGCCACAGGAAACACAGAGACATAAAGACACAGAGACACTGAAGTCCTATGAACAAGTCCTGGAGACAGTGACACTTGGAGAGGAACGTCCTCCTGATCTGAACCTCAGTCATGTTCTGTTATTGGTGGAACCATTTCCAAGTGTCACGATACGATATCGTCACGTCTGAACCTCACAGGTCGATATTTACTGTGATTCACAGGGAGGTTCATGATGTTCTACAGAATAACAGAGTGACATTCTAAAATACTTTGAGCTTCATTTGGTAAAACATTTATTGTCAGTTTCAGATCAGTGACTTTTTGAACAGAGTGAAAAAACTTTGACACTGAAGTGTTAAATTCAAGTCACAAATAAATGACTTTAGTAAACGACGACACCACTCCGTTTGATGGACTGTTTGAGTATTACGACTGCTGTGTCAGGAGAATCGAGGAGTCGAGTCGTTTAGTCCGACACAAACTGAACCACATCAGCCACAAGGACGAACTGTTTTTATCAGAGCAAATTTTATGCAAATGAGTCATGTGGTTTTAATTTCTGTAAAAAATGTCTGTAAACATAAACAAATGTGTCAAAGCTGCATTAAACACTTTATTAGTCAATGTAGATTTGAGTCGTCCTCATAAGAAATAAAAAAACAAGCTATTTCAGCTCCAGTTTTTCCTCTTAAACCTTTTAAAGTCGACGTCGTCACCGTGGAAACTGGATCAAATCTCTTTATTTTCTGTGACGTGTTTGTTTTTTCTTGAGCTGTTTGAGGCAGTTCTGGTGTAAAAGTTTCACGTAGAGTTTTTTGTCTCGACTTGATTTAGTGAAACCTTCTTGAACGTTTTGGGCGTGTGGGTTTATCCAGGTCCTTCTCATGTTGGAGTTTTTCTCGCTCTTTGTCCGTCAACTTTTCTCTTTTTTCTCGTTTCTCGTCACAAACACAAAATGTTTGTGGAGCTCAGACTTAAAGTGTCTGGTGCGTCCACAGCGGCGCACAGGCCAACGCCGCCGCAAAGGATCATGGTCCATGTAGTTTACTGAGCAAAACAGACTCAACACTCTGATTCTGATCTAAAGACGCTCAGTTTAATACGAGACCAGACCACGACCGATATCCAGACATCAACAATATCGATATCGATACACCTCTAGTTATTGAACTTCTGTGTGAGTCACAGTTTGTCCAGAACCAACACCATGTTCAGCACAAGGTCCATCA